TGTGTGTGTGTGTGTGTGTGTGTGTGTGTGTGTGTGTGTGGTGGTGGTGGTGGTTAGGGTACCCTAACTGAAACACTTTAAATCCACAAGATGGTTACACAGCGTGTCCCGCTCATTGAGATCTCGTGAAACAGTGAAACAGTTTAGTGGTAGCAATTGAAACTAACTGCTGTAATCTGGATGGCAAAGTTGTGAGGGAGGTTAATAAACCCAAATCATTATGCGTTGCTTTGTTTCACGCGTTGGATAGCTCCTGAATAAAGACCCTCAACGACTGAAATTAAATGATTGATCAGTAAGGATAACCTGAGAATTCCTTCAGTTTGTTCATGTGATATTCATGAGGAATGTTCACCCTCAAGTAGATCATGGTTTGTGCAAAGCGTGTGTCATGCCACCCCGCTTTGCACAATCCATCATTTTCCCGCATTTTGTGTTTTTCTTGACGGAAGAACCTGAAACTTGACTTTTCGCAGTAGATCTAACGGTAGTCCGGTGCTCGCTAATTGCACCATCATCACCTTATTTATATTTAGATGCTCACTTTTCATGGTAGCATTATTCGTCCATAAAACACTAATAATGTCATTTTGTTTTTCGGAAGTCCCTGTATGCCTACATCCATGTAATTTTATGGCGAGCGAGAGAGTGAGGGAGGGGTGGGTATTCACTTTCATCACGAGTTGCTTTGCTCTTCTTCCTCAATGCGATATTGACCTATCTGTTTCTGTCAATGATTGTACACCAATCATCTCAATGAGTTAGAATAAAATACGAAAGAGGTCGGATAATGAGATCCGTGACAATCTCTGCCACTAAGCGCATCTGGTATTTGCAGGCAATGCATCAGTTGCATGGATGGATGCGTGAAACAAATAGCCCGAATCAGTTGCGCCCCTTAGTGGAAGCTGGACACAACAGGAATCGAGTGTCTGTGTGTGTGTGTGTGTGTGTGTGTGTGTGTGTGTGATATGAGCAATGATTGAGACTGGATCGTGTGTTAAGGGGAGTAATTAATAGCGCACACCGCTTCATGATTAATTCAGCAAGGTGGAATAGATAAGCACATGACTGACAAACAATGGATCACGCCATAAAACTTGATGAAGAAGAAAAGAGAGCAACCTGGCGTTGTCGTGGCAGTAGTAATGTAGTGAATCGATGAAAACAAACCATATTGATTCACGCATTCGGTCGTTACATGTACATGTACAAAGAATATCTCCTCAGTAGTGATGTTGTTTGACCGCGGAGTATCTTTATTAATGTTGTACCTTTTCCCATTTAAGGCTATCCCTGAACTGTTAGCATCATAAAAGATATTCATTCAATTATTGTCTAGTAATGGTGAATCAAGAAATTCTGCGTATTGGTTAGGATATGGCCCCCATGCTTCTGGCTTCGATTTGGCCTGATAGAATAAATCGATTGAAATTGTGAAAAGGTCTATGGCCTTGTTGGGATTCGAATTCCGTCTAATAGTCTGCATAGTGTGCCTGCCGTATCTGCGGAGCTACAATGTCACAAAACGACAGCACTGTGCTTTTCGCATTTGTATAAGCACATGAATCACAGAGGATAATAAATCAAAAAAACCATTAGGTAAAGAATTCTCTTCGGCCATTCTGTCCGAAGCTTCCACGTTGATATATGATTCGAGGGTAACAACAAAAGTTACGATTCATAAAATAAACTGGGGTGGGAGGAAAGAGGATAGGGTACAGAGTTGTGATCATTTGATTACATAACACGATCATTTAGTCATCGTTTCATTTTCTGAACAACCGGCGATTGCGTCATATAGTTGGGTCACTTTAAGCTCAATATTTGGATAATCCGCTTTCATTTGCACAGTTCGGGATGGTGGGTCCGAATAGCTACCGCCTCGGTCGTGCAAAGCACAAGTTGCCTCAATTGTTGGAGCAGATTCATCAGGGTTCTGTAAATGACCTCAAATAACCTTTCGACATCTACCGTTGTCCCCGTGTTGATCAGATGCTCCACAATTGAGGTACTACCTGGGCCAGATGATGCTCTCGAATTAATCAACTCCGCATGAGTACATGAATTGATAAGTACACAGAAATGGTTGACAGTGGTAGTCAATCTTTGATTCTCTGAGCGGTGACCGGATGGGATTAGTAGAATATTTTCAATTCGGCGGCATGAAATGTGGATTTTCAGGTTTTTGAGTGTCTCTTTTCGAAGAGTTCTTCCACGTTGCCCAATCAACATTCAGCTCTGATGCAATGGACACATGTACCATGCTTTTTACGGTCTAAGAATAGGGGGGCTGTCTAGCACTTCCCACTGCCCAACCAGATAGATCAGATTCGTCAAACTGAGAAATACCTACTCTCATTTTTTGTCCTTTCTCATAGTTCTGTTTCAACCTGAACGCGGGCATTTTCGTCCTTTCTCCGCCCATTACGCGATGGAATCCTTAAATGCTCTGCAGACCTCCCAGTGTTTCTACAGAATTGGTGAGTAGTGGACTACAAGGATGAATTTATGGGCATTTAGACAAGCTGTGCGTAACGCATGAACTAAAGTTATGGTGAAGTTGAATCATGGTAAGGTAATACAAATAAACGATGGAAAGCGTTGGATTTCACTTAGGGGTTAAATACTCTGAATAGACAAGGAAATGCTTTTCTGCAAGTTCCAGAGGATTAGAAACTGTACAAATGTTATCCTGTGGAATGGGATTATCTCCCCCTATCTCGTTTTTTGGTGCCCTGCCCGAAGTTTGGCATGTTTGATGTTCTCGGATTTGCAGAAAACTTGGTGCGAATTTGCAATTGTAGACTTCGAATGTTCACAGGCAGATTGAAACAAACGAACTCAAAAAAGATGCAAAAATAAACTTACTCATTGAACAGATTCATATAGATCTGTGATAATACAGTTTTCAATCTTGTTACCATTACATGTTCTTCAGAAGAGCGATATAACTATTAGTGTAGATGACTAAATTGCTTGCAGCCTCGGATTTGCAATACATTCTACCGGGAAGAAAAACGGTCCCTCCCGTATTATGCATTGCACTCCAGATAATATGATTCTCGGCTTATTTTAGGCATGCCAAAAATAATTCCAACATATAAATACTATGCCCGGCGGAGCGAATCGGCAACACTCGGAATACCTTTATTCCTGGAGTTTTCGGGACCTTGTCATGGTTGACGGATCACGAGTGAACGATCCACGTCCGTAACGGGATATGCGCTCATATCCTCCGGTCGGGCATTCGAGACGATTTGTCTATTTAACAGATCCTAAACGGTTGCAACACGCCATCTGTCTGAAAATTTGCACCATCAAATACCGCAATTAAATCAGCCACTTATCAATATAAGTAAATGAGAGCGACTATTATCCCGAAACAACCAATAGTATTTATATTTGCTTGAAAAAAATTAGGACTTGAAACAAAACCGATAATACTGATGTTTAACACAGGAATTTAAGTAGCTTCACTGAGACATGACAGTCTGCATGCAATCAGAATGATATCGGCTCAATCTGGCCTAAGGATTACTACTACCACTACTAAAATGTTAATAGGATGGCAGGCAGAAGTTTTAGACAAATTCAGCTACTAACTGTGGTAAGGGCCAGAACGAATGATGTTGACAGAGATACCGCTACTGCGGATGACGATGAAGCTGGTGATCGTAAATGAAGGTGCAGACAAGGATATTTCCATAGCTATCACAAAGTTTGCCCGTAGTGTACCAAGCAGCTGATGAAAACCAGCAGTCTACGCAACGTCCGGCCGTTGATTGCAGTTCGAATGCATAAACTAAAAAAATAAATATCCTTTAACTCCTTTTTTGTCTGTTGAATATATCAATGTGCAGTCAAATTTCGGTAAAAGGGTTACGGCCATACAAAAATTGCCTGGGGAAATACATAGATAGGGAAGACGGGGCGCGGTGGAGCAGTTCGAACCCGGGACTTCCGGGTCACTATTTGGGGATTTAACCACTCGGCCACCACCGCCTACTTCAACTCAAGTGCAAGAAGGTGGAAGTTTATCCGTTCTCGTGAATAAAGCAATTTGTGACTTGGTTTGGAACTTGAAAAGTGAAGTATAAAACAACAACAAATATTGTTTATAGAGCCTAGAATCTATGAACTGGTCTGAACTAGTCATAACACCATTTGAACTATTCAGTAAAAGTTTGCAATTAGCTTTGATCCCTTGAACCTTTGACACTGTGATCAATTTACACACAAACACACGCACGCATGATTGGAGCCACAGCTGAATCATTAGGACTCGAATTTCTCATCTCCTGTTTCGTTTCTTATTGTTAGTCATATTTAATGTTATGTAATGGCATGATTACGAATAACTGAAAACGAGCTTGTTCGCCACGCTGTTGTTTTGAATTAGCTGTTTCTCATTACTCTCATGTAACAATTAGTCAGGTTGTGGAAGTTTCCAACCAATTCATTCCCCAGGAGGCTAGTGCTGAGGTGAGCGAGGCGTGATGCCTGCTACAAGCTCGCAAAGATGGGTTGTGCTATATTATGTAAATGGAAAATGAAAAACGGTCTGATCAGCTACCCGATGGCCGAGTGGGTAGCATGGTTGCGTTCTCCTTATGAGGTGCCGGGTTCGATCCCTAGTTGGGTCGATGGATTCGCGCGGTCGGTGAGATACAATCAGGTTGAAACAGCTGTACAGTGCTTCCTACCTTTTCAGTTCACGTTTCATTTGCTCTTTAAACTATTTAAAATAATCTGGAAAAGGTTGTAATTGGCTGTTTTTCATTATACTACATTGTTTGATGCAGAACAGACCACTGGTAACTTGAGCCCCGAGACTGAGAGCGAAAAAATCATTTAAGGTCTCGGTAAGATAGGCGCAGGATTGATCCGAACTAAAGAAATGCTGACACCACCAACACAGTAAAATCACCGACTTAGAAGTAGTCAATGTCCATGTTTGTGTTTAGACTCATGCTTAGTCCATCAGATTTTCAACCAGTGATCCACGCAACTGAACAAAAGTTATCCGGACACACTCGGAAAGATAGCATATTGGTTTTGCATGTGTATTGATTGGGGATCGTGGTCAAGCGGTCATCGACTCACTCCGAGCTGTCGAGTAACTAAATCCCAACCATTTCCGCCTGACTTGCCCGAATTTCTATGCATTGTGCTGCAGCCCTTTGATTGACCTTTCCCCTCCCTCCCCTTCCTCAAAACCGGTTGCACAATTGCATATTCAACAAAACGAATTCAATGCACAGAAGACAAAGTAGGGGAAAATGATTTTTCTTAACCCGTATTAATTCACATGCGATGGGAATGTTTGTGATAACCGACAAAGAGTACCACACAGCTGTTCCGTCCTGTTTGGGACTCGTCAACAGTGCGTAATTTTCCTGTCCCTGTCGGGACTCGAACCGCGAACTTTCGGGTCTGGACCTCAAACCCTTACCCCTAAGCTACATGGTTGACGGCCATCACCTTGTGCGAATGGCTCAATCAATTTTAGAGTAGCAAGCTTGGATTGGCCCATTCGATTTTGAAGAGGCACCAGGCGCTCTTGATCAAGAAAGCCTCTTAACAGTCGAATGGGCTAATCCAAGTTTGCTACTCAGTATTAATTCAGTTGTGCTCATCACTAATATGATCGGTTTCTCGGTCCAACCTTACGCTCGCATCTCGCAGTCGAAAAGTGGCGAATTACAGTACGAATTGTGGATGAGCGGAAAGTTGCCTTGCCAACTTTTCGTCGAGTCATGAACTCAGTTGGATGAGGATTCATAATGTAGAATAGCCAAAGGTCAATGTATGTAAATTTTTGGGGTCATCAATCACAGGATGTGCAATTCTTGTTATAAAGGACGACAACAGGAATTTTCAGTCACTGCAGGTACCTTATCGTATGTCACGTGTTTTTGAACGACATGTAAAAATGACAAATGGGTATGCAAATTGTGTAGAACTGCAGTAATGCACTAACTAATGGCTTCGGCAGAAATGGTAGCGAGATTTATAAAATTGTCTCTCTCTCTTATTATATATAGAATCATAATATTTCTGTAGAAAACTCGGAATGGCATTCTGAAGTTTAAGAATAAACCTATTCCCGTTAGTGTTGATTTTTACTGATTTTATTTCCTATTGTCGAACGCGCAGGAGTCAACTCACGAAAATGATATTCCTAGGCTCCAGGTTTGTAACCAATTTCATTACACAAGAGCAATGAGCTGGTAGTCTAAAGCACGCATGCATGCAGCCGCGCGAGTGCGCACACACACATTCGAACAAATGCATGCATGTCCCATGAGTTCACTCCTGCTTTACCAATTCAATTGAAAATTCTTGAGGTAAAAGAGGGGTAGTTCATATCATAATGGCACACGATGTTATCTGGTCCGTCATACATCGCGATGCAACCGAAACAACGACTCAATGTTTATGCAAACTGATCCAGATTGTCGGAAGCAACATCACCGGTATTCCGGAAGTCAACCTTTGATCGAAGTGCGTGGGAGAACTTTCATTTGTGTACGTGCACACACACACACACACACACACACACTCATCTATTCACACTTGTATATATACCCAGAACAAAAAAGCTTTGTGATTAATGGTATTGTGAGTTGTGAACGTTTTGCGTAATACAAGTAAGTTTCTCGAAAACAAACGTTATTCGGTTTTTACGGTTAGACTATATGGGGTTGATTTTAGTTAATTATACCGCACAAAATATTTTACTCACTGTATTATGTTCTCTTTCTATTCGAGCACTACCTTTTATAAACAATAACTTTACGTCCGAGATACAGAAGAGTGAATGGAATTAAATGTTGGTATAATTCTCTTCCACTGGTTTCCACGGAATCTGTCGATTCGGTTCAACCTAAGATAACATGTTCAATTATCATCATTATCGTCGTTCTGGGAAATACAGTAAAGCGAACTTCACTGATCGCTGCCAAACTCGCAATGCATACAAGGTTAGTGGTAAAATTTAAGGTGGACAGGGATTGAATCTATTTTGAGGGTGGGAAAAGAAGATGAGCCACGATGGTCAACACACTACGCAATCGAACTCTGCATACATACCGTTTCAAGCATTCTGACCCGATAAAATCGACAACAAGAACGCCACTGTTGTCGGTTCACCACCATATCCTTCAGTGTCTGCAACTAACCATTTGCGGAATCTTTCGGACCCCAACCTGGAAGACGCGTGACACCTGCTCTACCTAATGGCTCTGCGTATTTCTTCATGCTTCGTCTCCACGTCATCTGTTGGCCTCCACATGGTTTCCTCCGGCCCGGAGAAGCTACAGTGAATAAGGCGCGATGTTCAAGCAGTTACAACGGGCTACATCATCCGTGATCTGTAAGTATATATAGTCAGAGTCACTGCCGGTGAAATTCTATCTGTCTATTTTGATTGATGGGAAGCTAAGCTCACGCGTGCTTTTTAACCAACTTCCAAAGTTTGAGTCCTGTGCTCCGGTTTTGGTGGCTATATTTTGGCTATGCTTTCGGACAGCACAGTGCCAAATGAAAAAGAACAAAGGTCTCAAGAGGGGGATTGTATCTTTGTGCAACTA